TTAGATTTTCCTGGGATTTCCCTTGGATTTTTCTGGGATTTCCCTTGGATTTTCCTGGGATTTCCCGTGGATTTTCCTGGGATTTTCCTGAGATTTCCCTTGGATTTTCCTTGGATTTCCCTTAGATTTTCCTGGGATTTCCCTTAGATTTTCCTGGGATTTCCCTTGGATTTTTCTGGGATTTCCCTTGGATTTTCCTGGGACTTCCCGTGGATTTTCCTGGGATTTTCCTGAGATTTCCCTTGGATTTTCCTGGGATTTTCCAGGGATTTCCCTTGGATTTTCCAGGGATTTCCCTTGGATTTTCCTGGGATTTCCCTTGGATTTTTCTGGGATTTCCCTTGGATTTTCCAGGGATTTCCCTTGGATTTTCCTGGGATTTCCCTTGGATTTTTCTGGGATTTCCCTTGGATTTTCCTGGGACTTCCCGTGGATTTTCCTGGGATTTCCCTTGGATTTTTCTGGGATTTCCCTTGGATTTTCCAGGGATTTCCCTTGGATTTTCCTGGGATTTCCCTTGGATTTTTCTGGGATTTCCCTTGGATTTTCCTGGGATTTCCCTTGGATTTTCCTGGGACTTCCCGTGGATTTTCCTGGGATTTCCCTAGGATTTTCCTGGGATTTCCCTTGGATTTTCCTGGGATTTCCCTTGGATTTTCCAGGGATTTCCCTTGGATTTTCCTGGGATTTCCCTTGGATTTTCCTGGGATTTCCCTTGGATTTTCCTGGGATTTCCCTTGGATTTTCCTGGGATTTCCCTTGGATTTTCCTGGGATTTCCCTTGGATTTTCCAGGGATTTCCCTTAAATTTTCCTGGGACTTCCCTTGGATTTTCCTGGGATTTCCCTTAGATTTTCCTGGGATTTCGCGAGGGCTGGGTCAAGTGGATCTCCTGTGTTGACCTCCGTTCTCAGAGAATTTATGCAAATAACCGAATATCCGATGAGATGAAACTTGATTACGGAGTTCTCGACCCACTATTATTTCTAACGATGGCTAATGAGGATATTATTCCAGAAAGATCAGCAAATATGTGGATGACGTGACACTATTAATTGCTCACTCACCAGGACAGGGTAATTATTAAAGGAGTCCCTAAATTATATGTTAGGATAAGCTTTACCGAACAGAATGGAGATAGACATTCAAAAAGGCGTGGCAACAAAACTTAAATTTAGTATATTTTGATATAATCCTGAAAATAGATGATGATCACTTACGTCGCACCTTTGAGTGTATATGTTAGGAATGGTTATCAGTAAAGATCTAAAATGATCCAATAACATCAAAAATATAATGTCAAAATGAATCCCAAGATGACTTTCACACAATCTATTTGTGAATATGCAAGGCCGTTTTTCGCATTCGTCCATTACAAAAAAATCAAATTACAAAGAATTCAGAAAAGAGCTTTGTGAAGGGTTCGTTTGTTCAAACTTCACTTCTTACACCAGTGAGTTAAATCAGCTGTAAATCACCTCTCTTGAGTATCTGAAAGAGGTAACGGAAAAGATTGCCAATAACATAGTAGCATCAGCAAATCATTGTATGCTTTTCCCAGTCTATTAATTGCATCCTCGGTGTTAAAATAGACAATGAACAAAAATGTAATACAACCAGATACTACGTGTCAACTATAATTTACTGCATTAGACGCGTGAATGCTAATATTGTAGAGTAGTAATTTTACTTTTGTTACAATAGCTTTACTAAACGAACTATTATCATCATCATCATCATCATCTGTGTGTTTGCCTATATGTTTATGAATATGTACATGTACGCTATATGTACCGTGCATATACATGCATACTTATAGATAGCATAAGTATATAAATGTAAATAAATATATTCATGGAGAGAGAAAGACAGACAGACAGAGACAGAGAAAGAGACAGACAAACAGATATATATTTCACAATTCTCTTGGAACTGGGTGTCTATGAAAACTCCTACCCTTGCCTTTTTTTTAAATACGAACTGACCCCTCCATGTTGTGAAAAAAATACCCCTTACGCCTCCTGAAGGCTTGGCTAATTCGCTCCCGACAAGAGATCTGTGTTGATACACCCTCGTCCCAACATCTCGACCTCTCTTCCTTTCCCCCTGAATGCCTGTTGATTGGCTGGAAATCAACAGTCATAGTTGGAAGTCCTGATTCGCCGGAGGAGAAGCTCTCATGGTTAAACTAGATCTTGATTGCGCTTTGTTTGCCTTGATTCCGTTCTTGATTGGGCATGATCTGTTATCCTTATACGTCTGAGACCTTCTGAAGGAATGTCTGTTTGAATGTTTACTCGTAGTGTGTATGGACGTTTAACCGTGTTATTTTCTTCAGTACCTTTATACATTTGCCTTTTATATATCAGGCAACTGCTATATGCGTTAATGGTTATTAATACAGTTCAAGCCATCTTTCTGTTAGTGATGACAGCTTACTTACAAATATCATTTATGTATATATATATCATTTAGATATCAACGTGATAGCAACTGTGTAAATAATACTAGAATATTCTGAGACCCAACACAGAGAAAGTCAAAGCCAGTTCTAATCCTTAGCTATTTAATTTTAAACCACAATATAATTCCGCAGTTAACTTCATTGTATTTCTCAACATTGATTGGACCAATGATTCGGTATCTTGCCTGCGCCTGAACATCATATGTTGACATCAGATAGTCACTTCTTTTCTCTGTAGTTTCTGGAACATTTTCATTTATGGAATAACAGACGCATATCAGAAACCCTTTAGCATATACATTTGCCTCGGTATTATTATCATTATTCATATGCGTGTGTGTGTGTCTGTGTGTGTGTGTGTGTCTGTGTCTGTGTGTGTGTATGTGAGTGTGTGTGTGCGTTTGTATGTGTTTGTGTGTGTGTGAGACAGAGAGAGAGAGAGAGAGTGAGTGTGCGTGTGTGTGTGTGTACATGCACATACACAGACACATACACACATATCTATATATCTCATTTTGTTTGTTCCATTACGTGAAAGAGAGAAAATAGTTTTAATAAAAATAGGGAAAACTGAAATAGTGTCTTTCGGCTTCCTGGAAATCCGCTAGGAAAATGGATTTTAATTAAGGAAGGATAATCTTTTATACTGTAGTTCATGAGTTATAAAATATGTATATAGAGTAGGGAAAAGATCTTTATTTACACTACCATTTTCATTATTTTAATCATTATATCTTAATTACCAACACTATCATAATCACAATCATCATCATAATCATCGTAATCATAATCCTCATCATCATAATCATCACCATCATAATCACAATCATCATAATCATCATTACCATCATCATCACCATCATTACCACCATCATCATAATCATCATCTTCTTCACCATCATCACCAACATTACTATCATCATCACCATCATCATCCTCACTATCATAATCATCATCACCATGATCATCACCATCACCATCGCTATCATCATCTTCACCATCATTACTATCACCATCATCATCATCATCGCCATCACATCATCATTATCAACACCATCATTATCAACACCATCATCACCATCACCACCATTATCAACACCATCATCATCTTTGCTATTAGTACTATTTTTTTCAATTCCTCCCAAATAGGGTAGCCCCCCCACCCTGCTCTCTTCTGACTGCCTGTTCTTTTGTCATTTATTTTCTTTCTATCTGTTCCACTTTTATTTTTATCTTTGATTTGATTTTGTTATCACTTTCTTTCTTTATTCTATTTATCTTTTATTTTTTTCTGTTTTTTTCTGTTTCTTTGTTCTTTTTCTTTTTTTTTCTTTTTTTTTACTTTTTTTCTCTTTTTGTTTTCTTTTCTATACTTTATATTTATTTGTTCTTTTGTTTTTTCCTTTTTTTCTCCCCTTGTCTTTTTCTTTTTCCTTTTTTCTTTCTCTCCTTTCTTTGTCTTTCTTTTTTATCACCTTCGCAGGGAAACGGTGACATGACGAATAAAAAATAGATATATAAATACAATGAATAAAAGTTTGAAATAATGGAAAAAATACGAAAAAAAATTAGGAAAATGCCATAACGGCAAAATTAGGTAACTGGGAAGCGAATTGGTGAAGAGAAACTGGAGAGAAGTTTATTCCCCGAACAAACAGATATATATATGTGTGTGTGTGTGATGAACACTCATATATAGGATGCTTCTTGACCAGTGATTTAAGTCGCGTCTTTTGAATATGAGTATGATTCTACAAAAGCTACATGTACATGCATACATATACATATACATGTACACACACAAACACACACACACACACAGAGATATATATGAGTATGTGTGTGTGTGTGTGTGTGTGTATGTGTGTGTGTGTACATGTACATGTAGCTCATATTCAAGAGACGTGACTTAAATCACTGGTCAAAAATATAAACGGAGCTGAGCTGTTCTAAGTCTCCTTCCAACCTGTGCCTCACCAAACAAATATATAAACGAATAGAGGTAAGTCATTCCTCGTATCATTTTCACAAGGAAAGCAAAATCACAAAGATGCATTTCCTCCTCCTTGGCATCTTAAAATTCCTTCGCAATGTCTCCTCCTCACCACCTCCTATGGCTTCCTATCGACTCTCCAGAGGCATGTGGTAAGCATTCTTCTAAGTCAAGTATAGGGATTCTCAGACCCGTCTTTTTTATCCGGTGTATTTCCCTTTGTCAGGTTCAGATGGCGCTGGCTTCGCCTCCTGTGCTTTAGATAAGATTATGCAAAGTCTTGCAAGATTATGCTGGTATTCACGCTGTTTGCTAGTAATGTTCCTGTATTGCCTGTAATTAGTAAGGCTACTGACATCAGTATTAGCCTAAGTATTCTTTAAAAACGATTTGAAACTAAAGAGTATTAATCGTGTGCGTGTGTGTGTGTATGTGTGTGTGTGTGTGCGTGTGTCTGAAATCATATTGTCCTAAAATGATAACTCATTTAATGACTTAATTCTAGAATCTGCCTTTTCGTTATGTATTATTTTCGTGAAAAATAATAATAATAACTTCACGTGTGCTTTTCATGTAAAGGATTAAGGCCAGATATACGTTTAAAAGTTTAATACAAGGAATTAATCTTCATTCCAAATTGGTTAGTTTAAAGATAAAGCGGTATTTTCATCACACATTACATCACACACTCACAATACCGCCCACTAAGAGTAAAACTGATCCTCCAGACAGAGCTTAACAATGCTACAAACAAATACAATGATCTCTATTGTGTGCATCTTTAAACAGTGTTTTTTTTACAGTACCAACAGCACACGACTTCTATGAAAGAGTTATACGTAATAGTATTAATTATAATCTCAGTATTATAATTTGCAGCATCATAATTCATATAACTGCCAATTCTAATATTATCATTATCATCATATACCCACAACTAAGTACAACTGTTAGAGGCAACCAAAAGGTAACCAAAAATAAAGACTAAAGGTAAAATAACAAAGCAGCAAAGTCACCGTTTAAAATTTAACTTCTATTCTCGTTTTCTCATTTCTGATTTTCTTTACTAATATCCTTTGCGTATAAATATGCGAATAAATGTAAGGTTAACTTGGCGATCGGGAGACATATCCATCCTATTCTCATAAAAGTATAGAGATAAGACAAGCCATCTGAACTCGAATATACTGACTTACTTCATTTGGGTATATTTCCATAAAACCTGGATTCTTCCGTTTTCCTAATAATGACCAAGAACTTCGGGAAAAATGGATAAACGCATGCAAACGCCAACACAAAGATGGCACGCCATGGAACGTTTACCTTTGTGGAAACCACTTCATTACAGGTAAAAATCGAGCTTTTGATGCTACAAATCAAAATTTACTTATAAAGGTATTCCAACTACCAAGGTTCTGAGCCTTGGAGAACTAACAATAACCATATGAAAACTTACCTTAGGCCAAGGGTAAATTGTTTCCATGGCCCTGGATTCTTAACGTCATGTGATTATTCTTATCAAACCCCCCTCCCCAATTTTGTCGTCTGAGGCATTATATTTGGCATCTGAACGGAATAAAGAGGAGTATTTTTTTTTTTCAGGGAAGCCAATGAAGAAGGATCCAAGTCATCCAGACTATGTCCCTTCCATTTTTGTGTACACGCAAAAATTTGCTAAAAGAGAGCAAGAGAAAATGAAGCGGTTTGAATCAGCAAAGAAGAGAAGAGAAAAGGTAGCAACAGCGTCTCAAAGGAAGAGAAAAATTCAAAAGATTTCCTCCTTTGATACAGTGCTCAATGCAGTGATTCTAATGAGAAGCGACGAATTGTTTTCACTGCAGCTGCGCGCGCATTCACAAATAAAAAGCATGTGACGTCAGGTCGAATCCAAGAATGGGGGAGCCCGGCCTGTGCCGACTAATGTCGACTCGCTAACAGTGTGTCAGCAGGTGCTGACTCGGATGAGCTTAGTCCTTACCCACCGTGGTGCCCAGCCATAGCAGTAACCTCCAGGCGACAATTGCAACTTCTCGCGCCTGGGCGGGGCGCGAACCGCCGACTCCTCGGATGAGAGGCCGACACGTTACCACTGTACTATAATTAAGAATAATGTGAGAAAAAGGAAGTCTTACATAGATCGCAAGAGAAGGGTATCGCTTTGTTGGTTAAATTATTTAAAGAGACATATTTGTTTGTTCTTTCTTTTTTCCTTTTATTTATTTTTTTTTTCATTTTTCTTTATTTGTTTCTTTCCTTGTCTTTTCTTTCTTTCTTTTTTAGCACAATGAATCGCCGATAAGGGGAAGGGAAATAAATAGATGTTACGAGGAATGCATTTTTTTTTTTTTTTTTTTATTCTTCCTTCCCATCTGTGGGAATTACTTTAATTGCGCTTATAGTGATTACCAGTCAAGAAATTAAGAATTGTTCTTATTTTTGTTTTTTTCAAACTTTTTCTTTCTTTCTTTCTTTCTTCTTAGATTTTCTCTCGCTTTCTTCGTTACTTTCTCTCTCTCTCTCTCTCTCTCTCTCTCTCTCTCTCTCTCTCTCTCTCTCTCTCTCTCTCTCTCTCTCTCTCTCTCTCTCTCTCTCTCTCTCTCTCTCTCTCTCTCTCTCTCTCTCTCTCTCTCTCTCTCTCTCTCTCTCTCATAATCAGATCAGAACATTAAACATAGAAACAACCATG